TAAGTTTCGGGTTTGGGGGTTTAGGGGGTTTGGGAGTTTCAGGGTTTGGTGTTCTTTGTGGGATGAGTCCGGGAGTTTGGGGCGTAGGGATTTAGGGTTTGGGGCTTTGGGTTTGGGGTTCAGGCAGGCTTCAGGGTTTTCGAGCCCGAGCCATATCAAGGAGCACAAAGCTACTACACAATACCCAAACCCCCACACCCGTCTCTGTAGTGGACAGTACTATATAACTATATATATATATATGTATATATCTATATATATATATATAAGCCGGCCTTCATTTGTTTGTACAAAGCAACCAGAGAGCTCACCCATGCTGTCATTAGCAGCGTTTCCAGAAATAAATCAGAGTTCAAGACTGCAGTGGAGACTGCGTTTCCCAAGCAGATCCCGCAGTAGGCGAAACTGCTCAGTGCACGGCTTGCTGACGATCTGGCCTTGGAACTGCTCCCTCGGAGTACGAAGCTCCTTTGTGCCAAGTTGGCCCCCGCTCGCAAGCTGCGTCTGCACATGCATCTCCCCAGAGGCCTCCTCCCCCACAATGCTCGTCGCGCCCGGGAAGTAAAACTCCTGACGACACAAAGCGGCCCATCATCAAAGAATGCCGCTCCAAACGCAGACGGCAGGAATGCTGCCCCGAGACAGCTCAAGGTCACAGAAATAGCACGGCATACTCCTGACTGCGTTGTCGCAGGATCCTGAATATGATGCAAGCTACATTCCTTAAATTATGAGTGTCCTCTCCTACCCACCAGTCCTGGAGTCCTGAACCGCAAGATCCGAGACCCTTACTTCGCAGTGAGGTCAAGAGGAGGTCAGGAAACGATCTATTGAACCTCAAGCATTCCACCGATCCTGATCTTTGCTCGACTGTGGAAGAAGTCCGTGCCCCATCGTGGCGCCTAGGCTGGAAGCTACTCAACCCAATCAGAGCTGCAATTCGACTTACACTCTCTCTTTGGAAGGAAGACCAGGGAGGGGGTGATGTCAAACAGTCGACAAACATGCCACTCCGTTCTACATCGAAGCAGGACACCAAGATCGATTGCAAACGAGGAAGAGCAAACAGTGACGCACTGCAGCTTCAGCTCTGGACCAAGTGGTGGCTGTGGTGCGCAGTGGGGGAAGCGCGAGCCAGCGTTGATGCGGAGCTGTCATGGGATGCAATGCAGCAAGCCGATTGCTTGAAAACAGATGGCCGGTCGTCAGCAGTCAACCCATGCTTTCAATTGCCCAGATCACCTTTGGTGACAGTTTGGTATGCATTAACATCATGTGCCCGAGACACGTCGTTCTTTACAGGTCTCACGAAGCAGCCTGAAGAAGCCTCATGTGAGCCATAAAACCCGAATATCCCTCGCCGATTCAAGACTGCACATTCTGGCCAGCTATCTCCTGCTACCTCCTCTGCGTGAGTGTCTATATGTGCGCATTCTGCTAGTATTTGTATGGTGATGTCAATGGTTCGTGGCCTCTTGATCGCAGTACGATGTGCTCATTGCATACGCAGGAGCCACATGAAAGCCTCGCAATCTCCCAAGTTCAACGAGTGTGTCAGGCCAAGTGGTGTCGGGGCTGCCCGTTCTCGGGCACTTAGGGAGTATCCCAAAGCATCTCGCTTCGGCAGAACCTGCCAGCTTCAGATTGATCGTTCCGGCAGGGGTGATGAAGTCTGGATGCATCGACCGTGTATCTGGAAACAACTGAATGCACAGCAGCTCGGCTACTTGTAGCTTGAGAACTGTCGCGAAGGCGTCTTAGGCCAGCACTCGTTTACTGATTGATGGAGCCCTCGCCCGAGCATTTCGAATCTAGCTGCAAAGGGCAGAAATCAAATTATCCGAGAGCTTTGCGAAGGCTCCAGGGGTCGTGGTGGCGGTGCTTTCGGGGCGGCTGCCGCCGTCACCTTTAGCGGCATACAGCATACAACTTATCATGAGAGCGGAGTGTCAAACGAGGTGCTCGAAACAGACATGGAAACATCATGACAAGTGCTGCCATGGAGCCAAACCGGATCCACCTTCAGACCGCACATGTTTGGCTGCATCAGGACCTGAAACTGATTCGACGTGAAGTTGGAGCTCGTTCACATTAACAGCTTCTGTGGTTCGAGCTCGGCCCTTCAGTAGCCTCCGGCACTAGGTTTGCCCAGCATCTCAAAGGGCCATCCGTCTACAAACGACCACTGCGCAGCCTGCACGACAGGAAGTGCAGCAGCGCCGTGGGCAGAATTCCTCAGACCCCAGAAGATGCAGTTGCCGCAGTATCATGCTGGACTACAGACATGTCTCCCCACACAAAGGGGGTCGCGACTCTTGTGCTGTTGATGGCTGTGCGGGCGGGGATTTGTCAGGCGTCGCACCTGAGCACAGATTACGGTATGATGCTCGTCTTGGCACGAACGGTTCAACGATACTCAGAAAGTCAGCGCACCGCGCACCTGTCTTGCTGGGTGGTACTCTTTGGATGCCTTCCTGCAGACATGAGAGTTGACAGCCTTGAGTCAGCGACACTGCCTGCACTTGCTCGGCCTCGTACTCTTTCCGGGACATGGTTCCCGGGTCAATCTTGATCTTGCGAGCACATGCGACAAACAGGAAACGGCGAAGCCCGAAAGTGCTACAAAGTGTCGACATTTTGTCGCGATTCGCAAGAGCCTTCTCCCCACGCTTGGTCTTGTTTCGCTCTTCGAGTTCCACGCCAGGTGACATCACCATGGCCTCGCGCGGGGCCAGTGAGTCATGGCAAGCATCCCCAACCCGGCTCATTTCACGCAGCGGCATGCACCAAAAGGAGATCGCCTCCATCATGGATGGCTGTTGCGACAAGAACTTCTTGAAACCATCTTTGAGCTCAGTGGAATCTCTCCTGGCGTCGCAGGAGGTGGAATTCGCGAAACACCTTGAATGTACCCCTGCCACTGCACCTTTTGCCCTTTGTGCTTCTGTCACCTTGAATCGGCTGCATGACTGCAGCAGGGCGGCACGTGTGCAGCTTGTGCAGCCGTACTCTGTGACGCTTCTGAGGCTCTAACGGGCACGAGGTACTCTCTTCTCCTCTGACTGCCGATGTTCTTGGGAGTGCTCCTCCTCGCGTAAACGGAGCTTTGCTTGCTGCACGGACTGGGCATGCGTAGTGACGTCCGCATTTCCGTTTCAACGCAGTACAAAACATGCATCACGTATCCTTGCAAACGAACGTCATGGCAGGACATGGGTTTGGCAACCGATTCAGTTGCGGAGGCTGAACCTGAGCTGAAGGCTCGGTCTCACGTTGACGTCACTCAGCCAGCTTGTAGCTCTGTCAAAAGAGTCGGCCAAAGGAACCGCGATCATGTTCCCTTCGGAATCGTAGGTAAACTGCCTCCTCTTGTCATCCTGGTAGCGATGCATGACTAAGCAGGTTGGATTTAGGCGCTGAACAGACCATCACTCCGGTGCTTCCACAAACTTCAGACGTGATCAATCTATCGCTGCAAAGCGAGACTGCTAATTTATAAGTTGCACTGCAAGTGCTCCAAGGAAAACATGCCAGTATGCCACTGGGGGGCTTTTATGTTTTGGTTGGCTTGTTGCATGTTCGTCGATGGTCTTGAAACTCTCGAAACCAATCGTCTGGAGCTGATCACTGCCAGTTACACTGCGGGATACTGCATGCGTGTCTCTGTGTGTGTGTGTGTGTGTGCGTGTGTGTCAACCCGAACTTTCATGGAACTGCGTGCGGTTTGTCGTGCGAAGGGCCCTCGCAGGGGCATCGGGGCAGCTTGCATCCACCTCGGCACGGAGGTCTCGGCGTGATGTTGTGCTGATCATTTTTGTCCAGCTGCCTGTCATGCCTGATGTGCCAAGATCTCGGGCGCCACACCAAATATGACGATACTACTGGACAACAGATGGTTCTCAATGGTGGAAAGTCTGGTTTCCAGCCACCCGACAGTGGCTTTTTCGGGGACCTTGCAAAGATCGCGAACAAAATCCCACTCCAGAAGACCATTATAACATGGCAACCTCTACACCTGAACCGTCAAAAAAGCGCAAACGGTTAACTTCGCCATGAATGAGCAAGGGTTTCGTGTCAGCCTCTTGTTAGCCGATCTCCTGCAAAGATCCTTTTGGATATGAGCACTGCAAACCATGCAAACAGCTGTGCTGCCATGCTTGTACAGTGTTTGCACTATTGCAGTTGATGATCGCAGTCTTTGCCGCTCCAGCTCGTATTTCCTTGCACCACCTCGCCATGGGCAACAAGATCTACCCAAGGCGTACCGCAAACTTGCTTGGTACTCGAATTTCAACCCTCGAGCTGCTCCGGCCATCTATGTGCCCACGGTGATCCAGATCAATAAGTCGTTCCTTCAACTTCAGGTACAACCTGAGCAGCACGAGTCCTGAAACAACCGTCCAGCGGTCAGTGACTAAGAACTAAGAGTGTGAAACTCAGAGCTCAGAGGCAAGGCCAGAATATATGTACAAAACAGCTCAGATGTGTCGTCACGTGCTACTACGGGGCTCCAAGCCCTCGAGCAACGATCTTTGAGCTTGGCAAATGCCGGCCACGAAAGACATATGCGCACAGTTGGAGGCGCGAGTGTTCTGCATACCACTCGGGGCGAACAGCAGATTCAGAAGCAAATCATCAGATAGCGTCTCGATGTCAATGAAGCCTAAGGTTTGCAAACGGTTCAACCACGCGCTCCTCCAGTGAAGGAACAGAGGGCAGTCCCGTAATGCATGAAGTAGGCTGCACTCATCGGACCCGCACAGGCAGGAGTGACGTAAACCACTGTGGCGAGCAGCGCGCCCATCAATGAAGGGATGATTGCCGCATCGAGCAAGTGTCGACTCCCTTACCACATGCGTTGGCAATCTGGAAGAATGAATATCTGAACGAAAGTTGAGGCAAGGGTGACACAGATTGAAAAGTGTCAAAGAGTTAAGCTGCGCTACCTCAACCTGACGAAGTTGGAAACCAAGCTGGTCCAGGGCCGGCCGGGCAAAACGGTGCTTCCAACGAGCAAGGGACCGGTAGTCACAGCCAGGCACGACTCCGGCGGCAACAGGCAAAGGTATACCGGCATTACGGAGACCGCACCGAACTTGATGCGCCCAAGAGGAGGGAATGACAAGAGCATATCGAAAAATGCGAGCAGCAAGACTGCGGTGGGCACCATGCGGGTCAGCTGAACAAAGACGGCCAAATAGGCTTGTTTGAATTTTGTGGACTTCCACAGAGAAAGGGGCCCAACCGAGTTCACCTATGACTGCTGCACTTGGGGCACCTGCAGGCCAACCCAATAAGCGGCGACCCCATTGCCGCACCTGCTTATCAAGCCGGCGCACACATCCGTCATCCAGGAAAGCAGATCCATGTAGTATGGAAGGCAGCACATAAGCTTGGAAGAGGCTGCGGCGAAAACCGGTGTGCAACCCGCGGTTTTCAGCCCAAGCAATAGAGCGGTGGAACTTGCGCACACCTTTCTCAAGAAGCCGATCTGTCTGCTTTTTCCACTTTCTGGATGCATGGAAGACAACACCCAAGTAGCGGTATTCGGATACCACCGGGACGACAGAGCCCTGAAGCGAGAAGTGGAAGTCCACGGATCTGCTGCCAACCACAAGGACGGCTGTTTTGTCAGGGCCAATCCCAAAGGAGAAGCGCCAGCGAGCACCCCAAGCACCGATGGCATCAAGAGCACGCTGCAGCTCTTGGCGAGTCTCTGCCAAAACTGCCAGATCATCTGCATATAAAAGCAGGGTAACCCGGGGGGCATTGCACCCACGGCCTAAGGCAACACCCTGGCAGGCAGCACGCACGGCCGCAGAAATGCCATCGAAGAGAACATTGAACAACAGTGGGCCAAGAACACTACCCTGACGTACCCCAGCATGCTCCTCCCAACATTCAGATAACGCGCCGTTCACCAGAACGCTCGCACGAGTGCTACACAGAAGGTCATCAAGAACCTTCCACAACGAGCCACGGATACCGATTTCGGCGAGCTTGACTAGAACTGCATCCCTCCATGCCACGTCAAACGCTTTACGCACATCAACGAACGCACAAAATGTGCGTTTGCGAGCACGCAGACGCAATGTTTCCACCAGGGTGTAAATTTGCTCTTCTGCGCCCCACCTGAAGCCAGCTTGGCTTTCATCAAGTGGGCTCACGCTGGGGAACACGCGTTTGAGAAGCAGCCGCTCAAAGATTTTCAGTGCACAGCACAACAAGCTTATAGGCCGATAATTATTGAAGTCATCGGCAGGGCCGGATTTGTGCAGAGGCGTGACCACAGCTGAGCGCCAGATGGATGGCACAACAGCCCAGCAGCGAACAAGTTCGAAGAATGACAGGAGCGCAGAGCGTAAAGAGCCATCATCGACCTTGAAAAGTTCGTAGGTCAAGCCGTCGGGGCCTGGGGCACGGCAGGCGGGTAGAGATTGCAGCACCTGCACAAGTGCTGGCTCAGAGAAAGGAACATCGAAG